AGTTTTATATGACTGGCTTTTGCTAGATTTTTAAAGAGTGAGATGGTTTTTCCACATTTGACAGACTTGCACTAAATACTTGTTGATGAATTGCTTTCTTTTCGTTTTAAAGAAATAACCATGCAGATCTCTGAGATGAAGTCTAAGGAAGAGGAGCACTCAACGTTCAACTTTCCCATTATGCAGTCAGGGCCATGTCATGAAGATGGCTGTGCCCCCCAGATCCAGAGATCCATAAAACAGTAGCCTTGTTTGAGGCAAAGATTCTGCTGGGGAAAAGCCCTAGGTAAAATGAGACAAAAAGATTCATTTCTAGCACCTAAATTATTTTCTAGTCATTTACACAGATGATCCTCTCATGTAAGTAAATATTAACTGTAAACAAAGCCATGTGCAGGAAGGTTCTGCTCAAGAGAAGAAATTTGAGTAGGCCCTTGAAGTCTGATGGTTTCACTATATGTTAGAGATGAGACAACATTGTTCAGGGGATTGAAACACCTGCTAACAAGTTTGGGCTTATTTTGGAGAGGGTTTGGTGCTGTTGAAGACTTTTAAGCAGTGGAAAAGCAGCAGTTTGAATTAGTGCAACACAACCTTTACTTTACAAAGGGTTCAAGAGAAAATTTTGAAGGCTCTATTTTTTTATTTGGTAATTTTTTCAGTTATGTACCATTGAATTTTTAACACTGCTTAAGTTATATTAGAACCTCTTTGTATTTGCAGAAAATTCTAGAGGAGCGGGGTGGGGGGGGCCCTCAGTACAAAGTATAATCTAATAGCATCCAGAGAGAACATTATACCTTCAAGAGAACAGTGTATCTTTAAAAAGTTGAAAGACACTGGGACCTGCCACTCCCCAAAATGTCTGATAGGAGTTAACATCCCTCCTTTCTGGGCTAGACCCTCAGGCATCACATTGGGCCTGTGTTTTCATGAGGCTGCTTAAGTCCCCAGAGTGACTTAGCTGTGGAATTGGCGTAAACCCACAAACATGATCTGGTTAACAGACTAGGACTGCCGTTTGTTGAGTGCTCAACTTGCTCAGAAGACATACAAATGAGGTGATTTTGTTGGGGAGAAAGTTGTCCTGAACAAACTGCATAAATAGGTTTTATGGACCCCACCCCCATCCCAGACCAAAGAGATCCAAGACACCAAGGACTACAAATCCTATGTCATCACCACCCAAGGGAAGATTGCCAGAACTGAGGGTGGAGTAAAGCAGCCAGGTTTAGTATATAACCATACACACAGGTCTTAGGGGTCCTTGGTTTTCACCTTTTTCAGCATGTTATTGGGGTTCCAGCTCAGGGGAATGGGTAGGACACATTCACCAATTTCTGTCTCTCTTTTTCTCCCTGAGTTCCCATTTCACATTGGGGTTGCCCTGTAACAATTTTTAATAGGGCTGGGGACAGGGGAGATTAATAGATAAGGTTGTTCTCTGGTGGGGTGATGGGAACACCTGGATAAGGGATTATTTCAGGAGAGTCTAGAAACTACGCAAGCATCCAAACACCTAAGCTAGTGACAAAGAGATTGGAATGAGAAGAATCATGAAAAAAAGTAAAGGAAAAGAAGAAAAATCTTATCTGTTCTTTTTTGTCTAGGGACTGTAGGGGTAGAAAAGAAATTTTCCCTACTCCTTTGGTTTTTCTCAATTGAGTGAGCAACCAGATTAATGTTAGACATATTAGTAGGTGAAAACAAATTTAACCACATATGTATGGAAAATTCACATAGATGGGGATTCCAAAGTCAGTGAAGCAAAATGCAGGTCTTCAAGTAAGGAATGGGATTTGGGGTCTGGGGCCCCAAGGAAAAGAGAGGGGACTCACATGACAGGGAGGAGGTGACCTATATAACAAAGACTAGATGTTCTGTAATTAGATGCTTGCCTTATCAAATAGGCAGGTTTCGCTAATAGGAAGCTTATTTCTGGTAAAATCCGTAATTCTGAGTAATTTCCCCGATTTTCATTCCTCTGGTAATTAAGGAAGTGGTAAAAGTTTATGAGTCTGCAGGGCTTCACTTGAATTTAGCTCAAAATAACCCACATGCTAAAGTGACCCTCTTGGAAAGGCCTGTTCTGTATGTCTTGGGGAGAACTAGCAGAACATCTTGGGGATACTATCTGAACATTTTGGGAAAGCTATCTTTCAGTGTGGTCCAGATCTTGGTGACCTATTGCAGTTTTACAGTAGGTTACTCTGGAGTATAAGGAACAGAAAGATGGAAAAACTTCCATTCTAGTGTAATTAACTTTTGGGAAGTGACAAGGAAAGCTAAAAGGAAGAAGCACTTATACACGGAGACTCAAGTCATACTGTCAGGGCCGACTTGCTGCTTTATCAAGATGTGGCTTTCAACTATGTGGTAGTTGTTCTCTGATCACCAAGTCTGAGCACAATGAGGTATTATGAGCACGACTGGGCTAGTTCTGGCAGGCCCACACAGGGACTGTCTGTACTTTGGCAACCAAGCCAAGGGCAGATAAGAGACACTAAGCTTCAAGTTGAATAGGACCTGTATCTTGTCTATGGTTACTTTTTGAGCAATTTAGTCAGATTTGTGTAAGTAAATAATCCTCCACAAACCTGCACCTGGCCGTGGGAAGCTCTTGGTATTCTGGGAAATATGTCAACTGTCTGTTTTGGGACACTCCAGTGTCCTAGGATTTTCTCTCTGGAAAAAAAAACCCCAAGGGGCCTCCCCGGTGGCGCAGTGGTTGAGTGCTGGGTTGCGAAGCTGCCCGCGGCCTCTGCAGCGCCGGTTCGATCCCCGGCTGCTCCCCGGCCACCAGAGGAGGGTCCCACATGGCGCTCAGACCTCTCCTGCCGCCCGCTGCTCCCCTCAGCAGTGTACTTCAGTCCCTCTGCCTGCTCTGCTCCCTGCTCTGGCTCTGGTGAATTCTGTCACCCTCCTGTGCTTCTGACTGTATCCAGTGTTTGTATGAATAAATAAATTAATCTTTTTAAAAAACACAAAAAACAAAAACCCAAGTCCTTATTGTATAGGACTAATTGGAAACTGGATATCTTCAACAAGATTTCAATAGGAATAAAGTCAGATAATTAAGGTAGCTGGTCCACTAGGGGAATGGAAGTCATTGATCAAACTTGGAAAGTCAGGAAGAGAGGCTGGAGTGTTTGGAATAGGGGATGCATTTTAAAAGTGCATATATTTTTATATGCTAGTGAATTATTTAATACTAGTGCATTATTCAGGTAAGACTGTCTTTTCTGTCTTTTTTAATTGTATTTTTTTAAATTGAGGTAATGTTGGTATAAAATACCGTATATGATATTCAGAGACATAGGGTCACATTCATCAGATTTTTTTTAAATCTTTTTTTTTAAGATTTATTTATTTTTATACAAGAGCTGGGGTACAGGGCAGAGGCGCGGGAGGGTGAGAGGATTCACCAGAGACAGAGCAGGGAGCAGAACAGGCAGACTGACGAAATACACTGCTGGGGGAAGCAGTGGCGAGACAGGAGAGGTCTGCTGTGCCATGTGGGAATCTCCCTGGTGGGCCTGGAATTGAACCCATGCTTCAGAGGCTACGGACAGCTTCACAGTGCTGCGTTCAACCCGCTGTGCCACTGGGGAGGCTCCAGATTTTTTTTAAAGATTTATTTATTTATGCATACAAGAACTGGGGAATAAGCCAGAGGGGTGTGTGTGTGTGTGTGTGTGTGTGTGTGTGTGAGAGAGAGAGAGAGAGAGAGAGAGGATTCACCAGAAAGAGTGGGGAGCAGTACAGGCAGAGGTACTAAAATATACTGAGGGGAGCAGCAGCAGGGGAGGCAGGAGAGGTCTGCTGTGTCATGTGGGTTGCTCCCTGGACAGCCAGCCAGGAATTGAACTTGTGCTACAGTGGCTGAATTGAACTTGTGCTACAGAGGCTGAATTGAACTTGTGCTACAGTGCAGTGGCTGGCAATAACTTGATAATGCTATCTTTAACCCCTGTGCCACCAGGAAGGCCACCTTCTTCAGATGTTTATCACCACAGCACACCTACCACCAAGGCCCCATAGTCCTCCAACCTAGTCTATTGGGTTCCTTCCACACCTTGCTCCTCACTCCTAACCTCCTTTTCTGCTCGATTCAATTCTGTAGTCTGATTTCTAGGGTTTGTTTTGGTTTTGGTTTCCAGAGATGAGTGAAATAATCCGTATTTCAAAGGCTGACATTTCTATGCCAGCAACAAATAAAGTCTCTGAGCATAGGAGGTACACTGGGTCATGCATTAGAAAAGAAAAGAGGGCAGTTGCCCCCTTGTCTGTCTCAAGCCAGAGGTTGTTTTATATTTCTTGGTTGAGAAGGATGCAGAAGGCCTGAGGGGCCTCCATTTTCCTTTCCAGCAGCTCTAAGGGGCTGTTGTCTGTCCAGGGAAGTTGCAGGATTTCTATACTTAGCAGGGCAGCTTCCTCTCTAGACATGGACATGCCTGTTTTGGAGGGACAAATGTTTCTAGAACCACTGTTAACTACGTATAGAAAAATGAACTCAGGATTGAGCGTGAAGAACTCCTCAGGGGTAAATTGAAGCCCTGGTATTAAGAACTGCAGATGAACTGCAGGCTGCAAAAGCAACACTTGTGTGGCTTGATTTCTGCCCAGAACACGAATGTCATTGAGTGATGGGGCTGCACACAGACTTTAAAGTGTTTCCTGGGGACAAGGCCTCTGCTGATGGCACCCACTTTTCAGGTGAGGAATGGCCTCTTCAGTGACTGGTCACTTCCCACCGCCGGTCCCTTCCATCTTCTACCCCAGGGGTAAGATCTGCGAGGCGGGGCTGGTAGGTGCAGATGCTGGAGGAGGCTGGGTAGAGCCGGATCCAGCTGTTGCTGCTGGTCAGAGCCAGGAGGCGATCGGTCCCGGACGCCACAGACCCCAGGGGTGGCCCCGGGGGCGGCTGCCGCCGTCCAGGGGCGTTCCTGGGAGGTGGGGGCCTCGGAGGTTAGCCCCGAAGCCCCGGGAGGAGGCGGCTGGCGGCCACGTGACCCACCGTGGGGCCGGCGGCCCAGAAATAGCAGCGGCTGCGGTCCCGCCCGCGGGCCGCCCGAGGGAAAGGCGGAGACTGCAGGACGCTCGGCGCGGCCCGGGTCTCGGCCCCGGCCCCGGAGGATGCTGAGCCCCTGCTCGAAGCGGCCCCGCGCTCATGATGGCGATACGAGAGCTCAAAGTGTGTCTTCTTGGGGTGAGTCTTACGCCGCCATCCACTGGGGACACCCTGAGTCCGCGCGCTCCCGGGTCGGTGCGCCTCCCACGTCCCGCGCCCCCTGGTCCCTGGGGCCCCCCCTCTCCCCTGCACCACCCTTGTCGGTACGCCCCACAGCCCCAGGGGCACGGCCCCCCGCCTCCGCGCTCCCCCGGGGGGGGGGTCCAGGTCCGAGCTTGCCCGTGCGCTCTCTGGGCTCGAGCCAGCCCCGTCGGGCCGGCGTCCCGGGATCCGCTCAGCCTCGCGGGACTGGGGGCTGGGCCGGGCCGGGCCGGGGCGCCCCGGGACCCCGGCGCCGGGGCGGGGAGCGCGGCCGCGGGTCGCGGGCACGGCCGCCGCTCGGACCTCGGAGGGCTTTCTCCTTCGCCTTTGATAATTTCCTTCCGGCGGAAAGTTTGAGTTACTTTGCCAAGACTTGGAGTTCTCTCCCGCCTCTCGGGGGCAATTTAGTTTTTGAAAAAGAGAAGCTCAAACGGGGGTGAGGAAGCGCGAGGGGAGGCGAGGGAAGCGCTGGGAGTCGCGCGCTGGAAACCTCCGTGCCCTGGAGCAAGCGGGCTAAGGACTGCGCCCTGCACCAGCTGCGCCTCCCAGAGTGGGGTCTTTCTGAGCCTGAAGAGAGGTTAAAGTCAGAAACAAAGCATTTCCTTTTGGGTGTCCATAGCCAGTCCCAGAATTCCTTCACTTAAAATAGCTGTTTTCAAGCCGGGTTTTCTTCAGCCTTTGGCGCTGATGCCCCGTGGACCGCCATTGGCAAATCTGGTTTTCCAAAAAAACCGTTTCCTAAAAAAAGAACTGCCGAAAGGTAAACCCATGCTTGTGTGTCACAAGGAAATGCTGCCTGTCAAGATGGACGTACAAGAAGCGCATGAGGAGAAAATGATTATAGTTCTATTGAGTTGTAGCACATGAGGGGGTGTTGGGGCTCCATCTGGGCACTTGTGGCACCCTGGCAGACGCAGCTCCGCCAGCCTCCCATCCTGTCCTCTGCTGGAGCTCTCATTACACTTGATTGTCCGCTGTGCCCTGAATTCCAGAACCTGGCAAAACCCTCCTTCCCTGTAACCCCAGGCACTTGGGTTTCTTGCTGGGATCCCCATGGGATGTTGTCTGGCCTTCCCCCTTGACCTTTATATGTGCTGCAGGGCTGGGTCACTGTCTGCCAGGCTCACTAACACAGTCCAGACATCAATTCCAGGAATCCTGAGTTTTCCTTGTGAGGAGTCATTTCTGACGCTCAGGAGGAGTGCTGCGTCCAGGCGCCAACAGGCTTCTTCCAAGTGTTGTTGGGTCAGGATTCACCTTATTTCATTTTTTTTTAAGGATTTATTTATTTATGCATACAAGAACAGGGGCACAGGCCAGAGGTGTGGGCGGTGAGAGGATTCACCAGAGACAGAGAAGGGAACAGAAGAGGCAGATGTACTGAAATACACTGCTGAGGGGAGCAGGGGCAAGTCAAAAGAGGTCTGCTGTGCCATGTGGGTTGCTCCTTGGCCAACCAGGGGATCGAACCCATGCTGCAGAGGCTGCGGACAGCTTCATAGGTTGTGTCTTAACCCCTTGCGCCACCAGGGAGGCCCAGCCTTTATTTAATTTTTTAACGCTTTCTTCCTTGCCATCTACCTCGGTGAAACAGGAATCCTTATTTTCAATTTCAATATTTAGGCATGGTGGTCAGGTGGAAAGAGCCCTGCATCAGCAAGTAGCAACTGTGTTCTGATTGTTTCCCACTTGCTGGTGAATTCAGATAAGTACCTCAGGCGTCTCCTAAAATGGACATGATAACATCTTCCCTTTGAAGGTGGACTATGCTAGATGATATCCCTAGATACACTTTACCATATCCTGCTAACCTGTGATTCCAATCCAGGGTGACAGTTAGTAAGCCTGCAAGATGAGAACGTTGAAGGAAATCCTTTACTTCTTTATCTCTTATCTCTAAGAATGAAAGACACTTTTCAGTGGCTGGAGACAATACCTCCCCCTTGCTTGATAGTTGTTTGCAGTGACTGTGTTAGTAGGAGTTTGAATTTGGGAAGAAATAAGGGTTCCTAACAAAGAAGGTATTTCTGGGCAGACAGAGGCTTTGAAGGATAAGTCTTGTCACATGACAATGTTGGGGTGCAGTTTTAATCTTACTAAAGACAGAGGTTATCTTAGTTAAAGGGCCAGTGACCTGATTATCTCCATGAGTAATACTAAAGCTATACTTCTGTGTTAAGTGCCTGATTCTGTCTCGGCAAGATGTGTATGACAGACTACATTTCCAGCTGCTCAGGGAAGGATGACATTTGGGTGAGGTCAAAGCCATTTTGATTGCCTTGGGTTGAACTCTCTGGATTTGAGAGGGAACCCTATGGAATAGTGACTGGAAGAGGGAGTCAAAAAAATCTGAAAGAGCTCTCGAAAATTTAACAGGAGTGCCAAGCTCCTTTGTTCTTTGTGTTGGGAGGTCTGTGTTTTCTGGATGAATTCTTGCGTGTGGCTAGCACTCAGTTTCCTGTTTTTAGTCTCTGCCACACCTTCCTGAAGTCTCAATATGACCAGACCACATACTGGGATTTCTGTTGGTATCTCTTTAGAAGGTGACAGTGATCTCTGACCTCATCACTGAAGTCCTGCTGTCTCTCTGGAGAGGAGAGGAGCTAATTTCTCTGAGCCTAGTCTGTTGTCCTGATTGCTGAGGTTGCACGGGCAATCTGATTTCCATTTAAGGCACAAGGTTGTTTTAGGCATGAGCAGTGTATACTTTTATCCCAGGTCTCTATTGGAGACTCTTAATTATACTCTCCCGCTCCTCTGTTGATCAGAGGATGCTCCTGACAGCAGGGTCATTTGCAATAGGTGGAAATAAGAGTGGACCAGATGACCTGTCTTCACCGTGTACCTGTCCTTTCAGAATCTGATCTTAGGCATTCCTGATCTTACATTTTTTGAGTGAATATGCAGATGGATTGTTAGTGATAGTCTGTGGAACATTCTCTGAATATTTTGTGCTTTTGGAAAAACCAAGGACCCACAAACATTGGATTTATGTATTATCTATTATGTCTCCTATTATGTAGAGTACCTAGTAATTCTTAGCCCCCATTGTTTTCATGGGTGGACTTAATTATGTTTATCACATGTGGCAGTAGCCCAGCCATTTTTGCATAAACCAGACCATCTGTGGAAGCTAGCCATGCAGGAGGGTGTGTTTGATGGGAACATTCTGGGTAAGGTCCTCAGTGGACCCCCAGAGCCCCAAGTTCCATTCTTGCCACTAAAGTGCTGATTGTCTCACTTTGTAATCTCAACTAGTATTATGAAACAAGTAGCTTAAAAACAACACACTCAAAAACAGCAAAGTATGTTAAGAAAAAAAAAAAAACCTAACAAAAACAATATTGAGGCAGCAGCTGTTCCAACCCCAAAGGTGGAAAGCTTCCCAGTATGCATTTTTAACACACATTACCATGTGGCAAAAAACAAGAGGAGAGAGGAGTGGGGGGAAGAGAGGATCTTCCTTTTATTTTATTATTTCTTCTGGGCGTGCTCATGCATATACTTAAAATCTGCTTCCGGATGGGATTCCAAAGAGATTTATATTTGGACTATGGTTGCCTTGACAGTAGTTTAGAAATTTCTGCCACTTCCTCAATAGCTGAGTGGCATGATTAAAAGACAGCTGAGGGTGTCCTTGCTTCTGGGAAGGAATTGGTTGAAGCATCTCCTTTTGGCCTTGGTTAGAATCTGGGTGGTGGCTCATCTCAGCAGCTGAGTCCTTGGGGTTTGGTGTGACGTCTGGGCTGTGGGGACGTCAGATATGTATGTGGTCTTCACGTGATGGGCTCTGTGGAAGAACAGGAACTTGAGAGCAAACAGTTCACAGTAAGGCAGATAGGTCAGAGTGCAAGCTCTCTCCTTTGAGTGGTAGTGAGCTCCCTGTTACTGACAGAATTCAACAAGTTTATATGAATTGGCAGGGTCATTGTGGAAGCAACATTTGCATAGACTGGGAGGAGTGGGCTAGGCAACTGTCAAATCTGAGATTCTTTTAGCATATTCACATTTTTCCTTTCCCAGAATCTAGCATTGCTGTTGAGGGGACAGTATGGAGAGGGACTAGCAACATACTTTACTTCTTAGCACACCTGATTCCTCTATTTTATTGAACCCCTCGAACAAAGTGTGTTTCAACATTGGTGACCCTGGATAGTGAATAAGCGACATAGTGGGGTATCTGCTCAGCAGGGCCTGCATGTGGGAACGGTGCCCAGTCTGGGCTGATGGAATCCACCAAGTTGTCCTCTTCTGTCAGGCTTGGCATCACTGCATCTCTTCCTTGGTTTTCAAGAGCTCAGTGTGTCTCTGGGGTGTATCAGAATCAGTTGTGAAACATTCATAAACTTCTCATGGCCCCTCCTCGGCCCTCTCAGTTACGTGGCTCTTTCCCTTTTCCAGGGTCCAGTGATATTGTTTTACTGAGTGTGCTCTGTCCCGTAGGTCTGCTCCCAGGTTGTAGCCAGTAGGAAATAGAAAAGTACATTTTAAAGTGCTAGGACATGAAAAGATTTTGAGTTCATGAGTTAGAAAAGGTTTTCAAATTTAATTGTCAACAGTTTATATCAAATTTCCTGCTTGCATATCTATGCAAATACGATACTTTAATTGTCTTTGTTTCTACAATGTATAATATGTGTTGGAAAGTGGAGTAGGCATTCACTTATTCAGCCATTTATTAGCATCATGCACTCCTTCATGCCAGGAGCTGTGGGTGTCTGCAGGTAGATGGGATGGTGGCGATTCCTGTCATCAAAGAGCACCCTGCCTTCCCAGGGACATGGACACCCCAGCAAGGAACTAAAACATATCGCTTTATGTTCCTGCAACAGCACCTAGCATAGACCATGCACAGCAGAATTATAGCGTGGGATGAGGATATTCACTGTTGTCCACCTTGTTATACTTGAGGACAGATGAGGGATAGAAAGCTTTTG